AACACATAGACAACAAATCGATAACCAAATCAAACTCAACAGATCCATTGACCCAACGGTTGCAGGGTTCAAAATGAAACCCAACACCTCACTTGCAGAACCTAACGACTGCTTGAACCTAGCAGCCGTTGGGTTCCACCGACCTAGCAACTACTAGGTTTGAAACTAAACCCAACAGGCACTTGCTTCGAACCCAGCACTTGCAAAAACCCAGCAACTGCCTTACCTTGCCTTCTTCATTTTCATCAATCAATTTTTCATCACCATCAAACAACAAAATCCAAAAAACAAAAGTAGAAAAAAAAAAAAAATTTTCACCTGGGTTCCACCGAACCCAGCGTCTGGGTTCGTTCGAACCCAGGCATGCTGGGTTCCACCAAACCCAGGCACTAGGTTCGTTTGAACCTAGCACGCCTGGGATCCAAGGGGAAAGAGAAGGGGAAAAAAAAAAAAGAATAAAAAAAAGAATTTTTAAAGTTTTTTTTTTCATAATATTTTTTATATTATTATTATTTTTATGTCATCACTTTTTTGTTATATTGTCTTTCATGTGTGTTGATATTTGACATGTTATCTTGTAACCATGAAGTAACAAGCCACGTCCCAAGATTTTTAACAGAAAGATTGAATCAAGGTGAAAATGATAAACAATATAAACTAAATCAAAGATTTTTTTAGTCTGATAACTAAATCAATGGTCCATACAATAATTCAAGAACCCCAAAATGGGGTTTTAACCTAAAATCCATGCTAGACACCATAATTTCCCTTCAAATGAACCAGGTAACCATGCTAATCATCTACAGCATAACAGTATTCCTGGGACATGCGGGCTCAACTTCTAGCTCATAACCCAGCCGATATGTCATAACATACACTTGTACCAGCTACCATTTCCAGAGAGACTCACCTGGAGAGATTGCACGTTGTCACTACTACATTTGTTCATATTGTATAACAAGTAACGATAGAATTAGGAGAAACACATTCGTTTTCTAGAGAAAGTAAGAGATTATGATTGTAACATATGAGAACAGAATAATGGCTAGGAGCCATAGAAAATGCAGTCGCCGGTCAGCCAAATAGGTTTAGTCATCGCTAATTTTGAGGTTCTCAAGGGATGTGGACTTTCCATTCCGATTCTCAAACTTGTGGAATTCGGACTCTAGGGTTTTAACAATCTCTGTCCCTTCAGCAGCCGGCTCAGGCAGATCCACATGAAAAGAACCTTGTTTGGTAGGTTGAACCGGCTTAGTGATCGATGATTGCTGCTTTATGTAGTTGTAAAGTTGTTGATGGAAAGGGTGGTCCAACGAGAAGCAATTGTCAATCTCTGAATTGTGTGATGATCCCGACCCTTCTTTTTTACAAAAATGAGGAAGTGATGCAAGATCCATTATCTACAACAATACAAAAATCACAAGGTTAGTTATTAGGAAGTAATGAGCTTTCCTAGTTCCAAAAAGCAGATGAAGAAGGTAAAATCAACAAATGGGAAATTTTAGGTTGGTGGATTGATCCCCTTCAGTCTTTGAAAGGGGAAGGAAAGGAAAAGGAATGAATATTCTGAGGACTATAAATCAACCAAATATTTTTAGAGACTGGATTCTTCTCGTTCATGTCTTCAATATTTTAACATGTTATGAGAAAACCACCTCACCTTCAACAGTTCATCTCGGCCGGAACCTGGCAAGACCTGAATTTTTCTCCTTGTCCTTTCCTGCAAAAGGGGCTTGACAACCTGCTAAGAGTTCAAAGGTTACTTTCATCCATTCCAAAAAGGAGTGGGGCATTCAGTGAGATAGCACATCAGGAGATTCAACAGCAAGGAACAAATGGGGCTTACTTTCCAACAAGCTGAGAATACGTATGGGGCATTTACAATGTAATATGTATTTGTCCTTTCTGGGTAGTTCAAATCATCTATGGTTGAGATGATTGTCAATAACTGCACGGGCAGAATAACTTGTTTGTCACAAAATAAATTCATTAATGCACAACAACCATTTAAATTTCTGAATGGTACAACCTCCACAGCGACAAATAGTTTTAGAGCATGTTTGAGTTAGCTTGTAAGAACTTTTACTTTTTTTGTACTATTCATGAGTGATAAGTTTAAATTTTTATTGGAGGAAAAATTTAAAAGCTGCTTTTAGAAATAATAAAAAATGAGTAAAAGGAAGTAAAAAAGGAGTTTATGAAATGCTTAGATTTGAAACTTTTGAACTTTTACTGTTTGAGATCTTTTTAAAGTTAAAAAAAAGTTTAAAAATATAAGTTTTTAAGAGGGAAATTTAAACTTATGAAACCTGAATAGTGTCAAAAAGCTAAAACACTTGAAAGCTAAACCAAACATGCTCTTAGTTTAATATCATCTTTTTAATTTTAATCACATTTATCAAGCTTTGTAGGTATTTACCCTCCCTAGAATCTGTCAATTAGAGATGAAAACTAGAAACCATTAATTGTGGATACATGAAGGCATAAACATATGAGCTAATTTCAGGGCAATACCTTTATTTGGCTTAGCGCAGAAAGCTTCAAACCAGTCATATCCAACACCTTTATGCAGGTGGTTATAGGCCGCCCATACTTCTTTGATGCAGAGGGCTACAGTGGAGTGTATAAAGGTCAGAGCAATAACCCAGAAAGCTAAAATTTTGCACATTTTATTACTCACCAGAACTACTTGATCCCGATATTCATTGATTTGAATGTGTGATTGTACATAGCAATGGACCTAAAAGAAAAGAGGAGGAAAGGTAAATAAAGACCAATCAAAATTTGACTTTTAAGGAAAATAAAATGACGGCATTCGTCTTAGTTGTCATAAAGCTTACAGATGCTTTGTCAAAGGTGCTATGCCCAACACCAAGAGCAAAGATAGGAAGGCCCTGAAGAGAATGGAGATAGGTAAAGAACATAAGGTGAGGGGGATGCCATGCCCATAAAAAAATATATAGTTTCAATAGATATATTCAATCATCTTTTGTGTTCCCACGAAGCACAACATGGCAGGAATGAAAATAAAAGCACCATAACAGATAACTGTTCTGAAAAAAGGTAAACACCTCTCTTGAGTAGCCAGACATCCCTATTAGCTGAGAATCGCGCACTGCTCTGTAACACTCGGTAGGATTTATGGGTTTCTGTTGACACAATGTAGCAAACAAGAAAAGCATTAATGCTTATGGCTCTAACTATACATGGTGTTATATTTGCCATAAACCACCACATGGCTCAGTCTAAGACCAAAAGAATAAAATCAATAGTACAAAAGCAAGGAATGCATGACTGGGGTAATTCCTTATCTGCATGCAAGCACCCAGCATTACACAAGGCATCACGAAACACACAAAACAAAAACATGAGAACAAGTTTCAGTCCACTTCAAGGAACAAGTTTCAGTCCACTTCAAGGAACAAATTTCAGTCCACTTCAAGGAACAAATTTCAGTCCACTTCAAGGAACAAATTTCAGTCCACTTCAAGGAACAAGTTTCAGTCCACTTCAAGGCTCAACAACGAAACATGTAGTCACAAAAAAGCAAGCTCCAAATTCTTCAATTTCAATGGCTTGCCTGCACATAAAGTGGCATGGACAAGCACCGACATGATAGTTCACTACTGGAGAAGTAACTAATTGAAAAAAAGACATTGCAATCCAGAATACCACAAACTTACTGCCAAAATGTTGTCAATCTCGTTCTGCACCCTCCAATTCAAGCAGTCCACCAACTGAAATGTGACACAGGTGTCAATTCATACATAAAAGAAGAGATTATGTTCGAAATGCTTTCATCACAGAAACTGACATTCTCTTCATTTTTTTTCATTTGGAATTTAAACAACTCCAATTGTAACTAACCATTTTGTGGGCTTTGGAAACATTCCCCTCTCTTGCTTTTAGAAAACGAAACAATGTTTCAGGTAGATAACCTTGATGAACATTCTGCATGTCAAAACAATTATTGTTGAATAGCATAAAAAACATAACTTGGCAACGCATTATGTCCAAACTATCAAATATTCATCAAATATCCCACATTTCACATCAAATGATAATTTTTTTGGCAAGAAGCCAGATATAATATCTTTATTCACTCCAATTCTCTCAAATTCCATTCACTCTCTTAGCTGACCTGAGTGCCTAATGTAAACTTATATCACATTAGATCAAAACTTCCAACCAATCCCAAATTATACCTTGGACAATATTTTAATGAATACAATTGGCTTTTCTCAAAAAGAAAAAAATTCCAAATTATACCAAGCAAACCAACAAAAAGAATATGGTACCACCGCCAAGTTTGAGATACCCAGAAGCTAAATTAGTATCCAAATTTGAAATAAGCTCCAGAGATGATACATTTCAGTATTTCACCAGAATTTTTAGGATCACATTCAAAAAAGCGACATGTGGTTGACATTATCCTCAACATTAGATAATAATAACAGCACTAGAAATATATAATTCAAGCATTTCCCTTAACCCAAAAGAAAAAGGAAAACATGGTTGAAGACGGTTGACTGACGTTAAGCATCAGATAAACCAAACTAAAAAAGGAAAAACAAGAAGGCTGAAAACGGGTACCTGAAATGTTCTCCTCAAAGACTCATCAACTGCAACAAAATAATATAAAAATAAGATCTTTTCTGAACCCAAGAATCAAACTTTATTAAAGGTGAAATTAAGGGTGAAGAAAACAAACCTTGATCCATCAATGCCCGGAGGTGATGGATCGCTTCTTGAGAAACGACCACCATTTCTTGGTGCTCTTCCTCCTCCCAACAGCCCTGACCCTGAAGTCTTCGAGGAAATTTTGGCAGAGAGACGCCAAAAAGGGACAAATTTTACCAGTAATTTTTGACTCTTTTTCTTCTGAATCACTCGAACGTGATGTAGAATTTAGAAACAAAAATATATAAATAAAAGGAGTTAAAAATTTGTTAAAATGTTGGACGGGTCTGGTTTAGACTTTATACTTTGTAAAATACAGTCAGCGGTGCCGGTGCCAGGAGGGTCAAGAAAGGCAGGCCGAACTGCCTGGCCTACAATCAAAGCCCAACAATACCAGACTTCCTTTTTTCTTTTCTTTTCTATGAGAAATTACATTATTTTTAATTTTAAAAAATACCAGAAGAATGATGGAGAATGATAGAAGCTTCAGAATCTGAAAAAGGTAGAAGCTTTAATGCATGCTTCTGTTTATCTTTTGTCACCTTTGAATTTTATCAATGATAGAAATTTATCTAATTTTCTTAAATTTTTTTTATCAAGAATTAAGAGTATGTTTGGTTTCAAAAAATAGAGGGGATGATGGTTTTTTTCTCTGTTGAGTAAAAATAAATTAATTCATCAATAATAAAAACGTGCAAGGGTTACAAACCAATTCAATGTAACACACTAAAAGCACTTAGAACCTAACCCTAAAAGCACTTAGAACCTAACCCTAAAAGCATAAAATACTTTGTTAAGTATATGATAATATAATAATCTAATAGATATATAGATATTATAATCAAACTTAGTTCTTGATCTTATAGTGAAGCTGCAAATCAGTATAATTTACTAACACCAAAAGATGAAAAGGTAATTGTTGAGATAATTTACTGCAAAAAGCATTCTAATGAAACATAACACATATCGACCATATCTTTAATTCTAAATTTTCAGTGAGAAGGATATTAAATAATGATAAAACTCATATGAACTATATTTGGAAGAATGAGCTCCCACATGAGCCAACCTTAAAGGGGAGGCAAGAACCCTTGCCAAAAAAAAAACCTAAAAGATAAAATTAAATCATGATAAAAGAAGAGAAAAACAAAGAGTCAAAAGGAGAAGAAAGGAAGAAAATGAGAACAAGAAGAAGGGAAGCCGCGGTTAGGGTTCTGCTCTCCTCTTTTTTTGAGGATGAAAACTTTTTTAGTCAATTAAATTATAATATTCAAAAAAAAAATAAAAATCAGATTTTCATGGTGTTTAACTTTATGTAATATTGTTCAAGTAAAATCATTCTTATATGTTGATTCATTAAAAAAAATTATCTCTTCTCTTCTTTTTATTTTCGTCAACTCATACACACTATAAAAAGAAAATCATTAGAAAAAAGTTGGTGTGATGTTGGACATGGGAGCAGAATTCGGTGAGCATATTGGATGGGACCAAAGTTTGTTGGATCTCTGCCCAGCCTTGATCTCAACAGATGTGCCCTTGTGCATCTATATCATTAGGGAATCTATTGGTTCAACTTCTACATTTTTTGTACAAAAAAATATTATATAATTTGAGTCATATCATTTTATATATTTTATATTATTAAATAAAGATGAGTTTTTAGGTATCTCTTTTTTAATATATAATTTTTATTTTATAATTTAATATAATTTAAATTGTGAAATAAAAATATTTTTTCTCATATTAAAAAAGTAAATTTGAAATCTTAAGCTTAAAGAAGCATATATAACACAACCATTCTGAATATGAATAAAGTTTTAATAGGCATTGGTTTTTACACGCACATAGAGAAGCCACTTTGGAAGAACTTATGCCAATAGTATTGAATGACTCATCATATTGCTATTGTCCCTTTTATAGTTGCCTTCTTTATCACGAATAAAATTTTTTTTCCCATATTAAAAAGTTAAATTTGAAATCTTAAACTCGAAGAAGCATATATAATACAACCATTCTGAATATGAATAAAGTTTTAGTAGGCATTGACTTTTACGCGCACATAGAGAAGCCGCTTGGAAGAATTGATGCCAATATATAGTGTCCAATGACTCATCATATTGCTATTGCCCCTTTTATAGTCGCCTTCTTTGTCATGAAAAATATTAATAAAAGTAAATATGTGGTGGCTATCTCTTCTTAATATATATCACTTTAGCTTTAAGGACCACCTCCGAATATTCAAGACAAGAAACAATTGAATGATGATATGAAAGATGAATATATGAGATGATTTTATGGGATTGATGACATGATTTGCTGATTGTCTATTATGTAAAATTCTCTTTAAAGCAATACCTTATTGAGTTGGTTGCTACCTCATGTTTGTCCTTTGTTTTCGTCTCATTTTATCGTTTCAATTATCATTATTCTAAAAAACTTCTTGTCTTTTTTTTCCTTCCATAAAATGCTCATTTTCATTCTTTTGAGATAATTAAATAGACTCTGTTTTCCTTAAAAACTCTTTTCATTCTTGTTACCATCAGGGAATGTTGGAACTGACCGCTGAGTCTAACTTGAGTTTTTGGGCTTTTCAGTTGAATTCTAATTTGGTAACTTTCCAGTCCATGAATGGCCCAATTTTATCACACATCACATTGGGCTTAGTCCAGTAAACTGTGACCTCAGTCCATCAACGCACCGGGACTTATCCAGTAGATTGTGGGCTCAGTCCATTTAGAAACTAGATGCAGTCAACCTATTAAAAAATAAATAAATAAATAATGCATGCATCTTGCATCATGCTATCAACCCCACATTTTATACCTACAAAAATAAATAAATAAATAAATCACAAATTTTTAGTTTACAAGTAAAACAAATGACGCTTCTGTTGAAACAGGCCACTGATTCCTTAACATATTCCATTTTTAATTCGTATGCAAAGCCAACCCAGGGCTACAGTTGCATTAAATTATCCTAATAAGTAACAAACGCGGTTTCATAGTTTATGTATATATATTTAAAAAAATGATTTTAAAATAATCTTTATATATTATTTTTTAAGTATAATTTAATATATTATTTAAATCATTAATTATTAAGATTTGTACTTAAAAGCGGTGGATGAGTTGTCAATGAATTCTTCTAATTTAACTAAAGGTCTTGATTTCAAATCCTGATAATGTAGTTACGTTAAAATTCGTAAGAGAAAATTTTACCGTCCATTGGGTTCTACCCGACTCGAATCTGAATTAGTCAGTAGTCTAATAAGTTTTCAGATGTCGGATGGTTCATACAAAAAAAAATTAATTATTAAGATTCGTGATATTAAATATATTTATTGATTTAATGATATGTAAAAATTATATAAAAATAATATTAAAAAATTATCTATATAACCCGAGTTTTAAAAAATTGAAGGTCCAAATTCTAACACGAATGCATGCTCCTTGCATGATTCAAGAGAGAGACGGCCACGGCTCAAAATTCCTCTTTCTAATTTCCACCCGTTCATGTTTAATTCTGATTTTATTTTTTTTTTAATACATAAGGTTCGTTACTGTTTTTTTCCAGATGAAATGTATTTCATTAATTAAATTATTGACGTTGCATCACGGGGTGCAGCACCTCTAGTATTAAATATGACCCCTCAGAAAATCGCGTTTCAGAGAAAATATAATCTTTTGTTTCTTTGTTTTTCAGGAGCTGCATGCAGTGGCAGTAATAAGAAACCAAGCACGAATCAGGCTCGTTTTTCTGAGTTTCGTTGGGGGAATCTAACATGGAAGCTAAGGGTCACCAGCGGTTTTTCAGTGCCCTGACTGATATAACAGACGCGGAGTCTGGTGACCCTAAGCGTTTCATTTCTTCCGGTGAGATTGAAGATGAGGAGGATTCCGACGCCTCTTATATTTGTATAGAGGTTAACCGGTCTATCTTCAGCCCTCCAGTAAAAGCGCCTTACATGCTAAGGTCCACCACCAGTGAGATTGAAGAAGAGGATGATTCCGGTCCATCTCACACAGGTGGTTATGGTACTCAACAGTCCATTTCCAGTGGCTCTGAATACGAGGGGGAGGCCTTCACTGATGAACATTCGAACGTGACTGGTGAGGTTCATCGCTCCATCTCCAGCGGAACAGAAGAAGAAGAAGAAGAAGAAGAAGATGCTTCTTACTCAGTTAAATCTTATATCACGGCCAATTACGAGATAGAAGATGCAGAGAGTGCTGATGAATTTTCTTCGGTGAACAATAGCGAATATCAAAGCAGCGTGTTCTCGCTGGATGTTAACCGCGCAACAGAGGACAGCGTGTACGTTGCGGTTGGGAACAGCGAGTCAAGCATAGATGCGCTCGCCTGGACGCTCGCCCACTATGTCAATCTATCCACCAATATCTATCTAATTCATGTCTTCCCCGAGATACGCTACATTCCTTCTCCATGTAAACCCTATATATCTCCCTGCCCTGTTTTTGCCCTGTTTCTTGTTAATTTATTTACTCATGGTTGATCTGTTTTTGCTCTGTTATGGTTTTGGATGGCAGTGGGATTGTTGCCAAGGGACAACGTGAAACCATCGATGGTGCAGAAGTACATGGCTCAGGAAAGAGAGAAAAGGAGAGCACTCCTGCAAAAGTTTTTGGATGCCTGCCATTATTTCAAGACACAGAATAAGGTGGATGCCGTGCTTGTAGAGAGCGACGAGGTTGCGAAGACCATCCTCAACCTCATTCCTTTTCTCAACATCACGAAGCTCGTCCTTGGCTCCTCCAAAACCAAGAAATTAAAGTTCAGAAAGAACGGGATAGCTCATCAGATATTTAAAAATGCACCACTGACATGTGAGGTGAAGCTTATATGCAAAGGAAATGCAGTGGTGAATCCCACTTTTGCAACGCCATCCATCTCTCCCTCTCCGTCTCAGCGATCCCTTACGTCTCAGCTATCTCTGCGATCCCTCTCCGATGCTTTCAAAATCTTCAACATAAAGGAGACATGAGATCGGCCAACGCTATGTTGCCCCGCAATGCACCTGTTTCCGCCCTATGTCCTTTGCTCGTGCATAGAGAAACAGCCTGCGGGGATACAGCTTAGTTGGGAGAGCGTCAGACTGAAGATCTGAAGGTCGCGTGTTTGATCCACGCTCACCGCATGGTTTATATTTTTCCCTAAACAAAGACTGCCTTTCCATTCCATATTGCAGCTTCTATGAAAGCCGCTGGTTTAATGGCATCCAAAATAATCTCAATCTCAGAGCAGTTATACGGTCTCTCCTCATTTTCCTTTTTTTCATGTTTGTCCTCATTTTCCTTTTTTTCATGTTTGTTGTAAAGTAAATTGGGATCCTGTAAATAAAGCACATAATTTGTGCATCCACCACAGAATGGTAATATGATATTGGAAATTGAAATGTTTCCTTCTATTAATGAGAGATTTTAATTGCAGTACATAATCACAAAGCATTGAGCAGCTCAATCTAAATGAGTTTGCATTGACTTGGGAAAAAAAAAACAAAAAACAAAAATAGAAGACTGCTAATGAAAAATCATTTACAAGGCTTTTTCACCTGCCATCAATCTCCATCCCTGTACATTTGCATTTTTGCAATGCCAAAAGCTCGAGAATCATATCAATGTTTCTGCTTTCAGGCACACAAGGGCAGAAGTTGACGCACCTTGGCTGGACAGGAAGGCATCACTCCTGAATCCTGATGGTTGATGGCATATATACCGTTTTAAAGGAAGCGTCCACATGAAAATTATGGAATACAGATTATAATTCTTAAAACAGACAGGAAAAACAAAATACAAGTTCTCATCGTCCATCAACATGAAAACTTTATCCCCAACACCAACAACCCCTGACATGTTCACAATACCTTTTTCCTAATTGAAACAATTTGCTTATGGCAATCAGTATTGACTGTTGCTAAAAGAAATCAAACTCCAGATAGTTATCAGAACCTTTCTGGTCATAAGCAGCTGCATTTGGTGCTGCCTTTTCACTTGATGATGCAGGCGGGGCTGGTATTCGCTCGTGCTCAACTGGTTTTGGGATCTCAGGTGGGGTAGCACAGCGAATCAGTGCCCAATTTACACCTTCGAAGAATGGATGTTGCTTAATCTCAGTTGCCCCTCGTTTATAAGCCAGTCTATGCTGCGGCTCTTTCACAAGCAACCCTCTTATCAGGTCCCTTGCTGCAAAACTGACAACAGGTGCTTCTGGAAACCGTAGTGGCTGCCCCACAACGTTGAATAATGTGGCTCGATTCCCAGATCCCTTAAAGGGAGTTTTACCAAACAAGAGCTCATACAGAAAGATGCCAAAAGTCCACCAATCAACAGCACTTCCATGACCTTCGCCTTTGATGATCTCAGGTGCCAAGTACTCATGGGTCCCAACAAATGACATTGACCGGGCCTCGGTTGGCTCGGCTATGAGCTCAGGTAGTGGGCTCACTTGGTTTCCAATTTCATTTTTAGGTTTGCGGTCTTTCTTGGACTTGCTAGAAAAGATACGGGGAGAGAAGCAAGTTGTAGGAGCAATGCAAGATGGCTGAATGCAGGATGGTTCAATGCAAGCAGGCTGAACACAGTAGACAGGGTTCTTTCGTAGTGGCTCTGACTCTAGAGATGATGTCTTCACCAGAGTTGGGCTGACAGCACAACGAAGGGAAAGATCGAAGTCAGAGAGCATTATATGGCCATCCTCCCTCACAAGCACATTTTCTGGCTTAAGGTCACGGTAGATAATCCCAAGCATGTGAAGATATTCCAAAGCAAGCAGGACTTCTGCTACATAAAATCTGCAGATCAGAATAAAACAAAGAGGATCTTAGTATTTGGACCAGCATAAATAGGCAAGCTTAATTCAAGATTTGGACATGATTAATTAAGAGAAAACCTGAGTCTCAGAATAAACAGAACCAAGACATTTACAAGAAGATACAATTTTTAGTTAGACATCAATAATAAAACCATCCCCAGAAACACAAGATCAAAATATTCCAATCATGCTATCTATGCAAGCCTTTCCCCTATGATCACATTAAATTTCAGGTGAACTCAGCATGAATTACCATGTTTGGAAGAACTACCTGCCTTGTGCATGATGCCACCGTCAGAAGAATTTCAGAAAAAGAAAAGGTTCTTGAATAAGCTAAAGGTGAAATAATACATTAGCTATTGCTTTCTCACACACATCAGAAACTGCTGCATTCTCCCATATTCCATTCAGTTAGATGTTAGAAATTTTAGACAAGCACTAGAGAGAACACAAGAAAAAAGGTACTGTAAACTGTATTGCAAAGGACTGTAAAACAGATAGTAGTTTGTAACTAAGATGTAAAAACAAAGATCACAATATATAAGTTACCAGATGCATGAAAACAAAGACAAGAATTATGAAATATTATATTAAAGTCCACTTATCATACTTTACTGCCTGCTCTGGAAAATGTTTCCCTGGCTGTCTTTGCCTGAGAGTGTGAAGATCTCCACCGGGGCAGAACTCCATTACCAAACAAGAGAATTTCTCCGTTTCAAAGTGGGTATAAAGTGTGGGAAGGAAGGGGTGGTCAAGAGATTGCAGTATCTCCCTTTCTGTTTGAGCACGAAGCAGCTTTTTGCGACTTGCTAAAGATGCTTTGTCCATAACTTTCATTGCAAAGTCACACTTCGTTCCACTCAACTCTGAAAGATATACGCTCCCAATATCCCCACAACCCAACCTCTTTAGCAGTCTAAAATGACTCAAACCCAAAACCCCATCCTTTGCCCTGACTGCCTGGATGGCTTCCCATCTTAAGTCGTTCGCTTTGTGAGGCTTGTTAATGCTGCTACTGAAGCTGCTACATGTACTTTCATCACTAACATCACTGCTTGTGCTTCCTCTGCACATGCTGCTCTTGCCACTCTCAACATAATCCAATCGGTCACTCATCTTGGCGCTTCCACTGGTCTTGGCAAGGCTGCTTGCCCCATCACTAACTTTGGCCGACACTGAGCTGTTCTTCACACTTCCATGCCCCGACATTTTCTTTTCTTGATCAGCAGAAACATCTTGAGAACCTCTATTTTCATTAATTGAAGAGTCCAAATTTGTTGTTGCTTCTTCAATCGAAGGCAAAGAACAACTTGTTTCAAACTTATTAGTCATATGTTCAATGGAACCATTCTGACTGGTATTAGGCGATTTTTTCTTTTCAGCAGTTCCAGCTGCAACCTGCTTGGGTGCATTCTCCACTGATTTTGGTTGCAGCTCAGGAGTGACCAACTCAACTTTGTTATTTTTTGAAACCTTCAAAGGCAAAGGCTTAGTATCATCCTCTTCCAGTTTTTGAACACCAGCAGTTTTCAATTGGTGCTTAACAGAAGCTTTACCACCTGGTTTTGAGGCCATTTGGTGATGGTTCTAGATACACATCAGTTCCAAAAAATCAATTACTCAGGATCCACTGCCAGAAGCATCCTATATTCCGATGGAAACCCAAAATATCTTGCTTACAAGTCAGCAGCATCAACATTCCATCTACATCATAAAGACATAAGCATTAAGCAAATTAAAAAATATAAAGCTACAAAGTTCATAATGATCCACTCAGATATGACCATGTAACCTGATCCACAAAGGGAGGTTTAAATGATGAAATCTAAAGAACAAAAAAAGGGCAAAATGACCATCCACCAAACATCTAAGTTAATTTGAGCAAAGACGGAATCAAATAACCCAAAACACTTACCCTACACTCAGATCCAAAGGTCAAGTCTACCATTAGATCTGCAGAAATCAATAGGCAGCTCAACCATAATTATAGGAGGAGGCAACTGACAAGTATAATACTTGTATCTTCCAATACAGCTATAGCAGGCGAAAAAGGCAAACTTCACACGCGGGGGTTAGTGGCTACCCTTATACCTAAAGTAACCTAAATCACATCCAATATGCTGAGGAAAACAAAAGATTAGATGACATAGCAGCATGAGGAGCTGGCTTGATTAGATGATAATGAAGAAATGTCCCAACATATCAAAAAATCGACCAGCAGATATGCAGCTCTTCCCTCAGAAAAGGGTATAAAGCCAAAACAAATGGGGAAATGAAAATTGAAAAGGCAAAACTTGCAAAAAGAAAATCAGACAAGGGAGTCGAGGACCACAGGAAAAGTAAAGAATCAGTAAGTTAAGTAAGATGCATAGATAAATGCCGTTGTTACAAACGATGAAAACCAAAGAGATGAAAGTGATCAACAGAATTGCAAAGAAACCAGATCTCGATCACAAAAAACAGTGCTTTTAAGTGAAAACCAAACACAGATCCAAGCAACAAGGGAGACCCAGATGCGAAAAGCAAGAAATAAAGGTAAAGAGATGCAAACCCATGAAGGAAAACGGAAGAGTGTAAGAGGGTAAGAGAGGCTTACCTATAAAACCATGGAAGGATCAAGGAGCAAACCCTGGAAGGGGCTAATCTTTGGTAGGAAAAAGGAAGCTCCTTTGTTAGGGGAAGGCGGAAGACAGGAGAGAGAGCAACGAAATGGACTGGGCCTGCCCTTGTGGTGGACTATTAGGCAAAGATGAGGTCAAAGCAAGACTAAAGCAAAGCTTTTTATTTATATATTTAAATGATATTAAATATGATTGAATAATTTTGATTGGTTATTGGGAAATAAATAAAAACAAACAGGATTCAGAGGCTTCTTACTCACCTCTTTGCCAGGCTGACTCCTTTCTTCTTCTTTTTCTTCTTCTTCTTTTTCTTCTTCTTCTTCATCATCTTCTTTTAATTATTTTCTTTCTTTTTTTGAATGTTAATAAATTATATAATATGAAATAGTTTTTTTTTTTTTCTGACACGGACAATGGTTAATAGGGTAATTCTATTAGTTTTCAGCAACTAAGGATTCAATTCTCAAATCTGATAAATATCCCTCCTCCCTTAATGAGGTGCACAGCCCATCAAATCGCTTGGTGGAGTTCGTTTTTTTCTTTTTATTCCATGGTATAAACTTGAAACCTCTAAAATACAAACTCAAGTCATTAACAACCGGGATATCCTCTAGCCATGGGTGACTCATTTCTTGGAGTAAATTAAATTGCTTTCTTTATAGTTCTTTTTATATTCTTAAATTTACACTCCCTCCCTTAATTTTTAATAAATTGAATTTTTTTATTTAATAAAATAAAGATGTAATAATGTATTAATAAAATTTATATTTATTCTTAATATAGTATTCTTAAATAAAATTTTCTATTTAATATATTTTATAATTATTTTTTAAAAATAAGAATAAAATAAGATAAATATATTAAATAACATCTTAAAAAAAAGTAGACAATTAAATTTGAACATATTAAATAAGAAACTAGATGTACTAAAAATGAACAAATAAAGTATTTTTACTAATTTTAATTAATATTTTATATATTTTTAAAATAATAAAAAATAAGAATAGAAAAACTTATTATTACATCACAACACAATACAACATTGATAAACAAAACCTTTAAAAACCCAAGCCCTTAAAGATCAATAAATACATTAAACCCAATTAATTAAATGGATCCAAATACCCTAATTTTATTTTATTTTTTCATCTTCAACTCTAATTACTAATTTATCAAGATGGTTTAACCGCTTATGCTATTACATTACCAAGTGTATATCAGTAACTGCTAGAGAGAGAGAGAGAGAGTGAGAAAAAAAAAAAAAAAACCTAATATTCTTGTTATCGTGTTCATCCCCAGCTTCTCCCTTTGATTTCGATAGTTATTGCCAATCTCCCACCCGCAAGTCAATTCCCTTTGCAGTGGTATCATTAGTTGTAATTTGCACCTATTGTAAACGGCTTTACATTTGAAGAGGGGGATTCAAATCTTAATCTTTAAATAGGAAGTACACCTTACAACTTAACTTATAACCATTAAATAGTAAAATTCAAGTGCTATCTATTGATATTATTTATTTTATTATGTAGTATAATTTGTATATGAGATACATAAAACACATTAAGATTATGCTTATAGGGGTCTCGGTGGTTCCTAAAATTCTAATTAGGATTTTAGTCAGGAACTTAACACAAGTAATTAACCGTAGGATTAAGACTTGGTGATTTTAAAAAGTTGGGACTATTTTTGGTTCCAATGAAAGTTTAAAACAATATTTAGTATTTATGACAAAAGTTAAGAACCAAATATGATATTTACCCTAAAAAGCAAGAGCATTTCTATTTTAGTTAATTTTGAATTCAAAATCGTCAATATATCTAGTAAAAGGAAAGAAATAAAATAGGGTATTTATGATTTGGTTATTGTATATAAGGCAAGAAATCTTTAAATTTAAAGTTTACATGGAATTGGAGGAAACCCTAAAGTGGGACATCATAACAAATTGCAGTCGATATATGAAGGAAGGAAGACCATATAGTCAAAGATCTTGAAACATGTCAAAATTGGTAAAAACATTTCCAAAAAAAAAAAGGGGGGGAAGAACACATATATTAAATAGAGACCTAAGGGTATATAATCTCACAAGTGGAAAAGGGTAAAGTGAAAAATAGGAACATTAAATCATAGTATTGATGGATGGGGCAAAATGATTGTAGCCCCATAAATTATGGCGACAGCAGCATAGGATGTCTAGGCCAGACAGTAAAGTTGATGAAGATGTTGGGGGATATACATTAAGTTTAACAGTTCAAGACTTTATATTGTTGATAGCTAGCCACGTTAGACTTTATTGTATCCCATTCCTATACTCCACATTCTAGACATAATACATTTAGTTGAGTTTTATGTTTAATAGTTTGCTCTATGTACAGTAAAATAAAAAATTATTAAATAAAAAAATAATGTTTAATATTAAAAAATTATTTTTTATTTAATAATTAAATTATGCAGTTTAAATAACATAATATATTTTTTTATTTAGTTTTGGGAATAAAGTTATTAGACTCCATTTCCAAATTTTATGTTTTCAAGTTATTGATGCGACAAGGGAGGAGATCTGCATCACTCACTCAAAGGAGGGGAAGAAGAAAAGCTAGCTAGAGGTGTATGTATGAGGTCCCGAGTGGGAGAATATGATATCCCATTTAATTATGAAAATAGCAAGTTAGGTGGAAATTCATCAATTTTGGCCTAGCCTTTCAATATGCAAGTCGAGCCAACCATAAAAATTAATTTAATTTAATAAAGAAAATGATCTATAACTGGAATATTGAAAGATCGGATGAATGTTAATAAACTTTTCTTGAAAAAAAAATTAACATTACAAACCATGTTAAACTATAAAATAATAAATTTAATTTTTATTAATATATATTGATTTAAATTCAGATTTCTTATGATTTCACACGATCAAATTCGGTCATCCATTTTTTTCCCTTGTAAATCATTTACTTTCCACTTAATAAACATCAGTCTTTGATGAAAGAGTTTAATTTTGAGTATTTCTTTTTGAAAATTAAGGAATAAATTAATCAATTGTTACAGTATAGGGTCAAAAATATTGATCTAGATTGTCGGATTGTCGCTTGCATGTATGATTTATGCCACAAAATTAAAACCAACCGAACCAACAACATCAATTAAAACTAGCTATATAAATATGTCGACTCAATGTCCCCATCATCTTTCAATATCAATGCGGATGAAATTGTCTATACCTCTATCACTGCCACTTTTAAATAAATATATACCCTGTAAATATGGTTGGAAAACTTCATTTTACATAGACATGTCGATTGTAACGTATCAAATTGATTAATTCTTCATCAATCATCAAACTAGAAATTAAGCATCTTACATATGGTCAATATCAATTTGTAATACATAAAATGAAAATTAAGAAGAACATACATGTGGTACATGCACAACATCGGTAGACAAAATTTTACATATGAAAAGCATTTTGTAGTGTAAAATTACAGAAAATTAAAACATTTTGATATTTAAAATATCACAAATAATAATGAAAATACTTAAATATCTTTAATAAAGTAACACATAAGAAAGGTTCATTAAAATGTATTTAAACAATTGCAAAGAACCTTATTATTTTAAATGTCATGATGTTTCTAATTTTCCCTTTTCCCTTGCACTATTTAGATTTTAGATAATTAGAAGGGCTCCTAGATTGCAAGAACATTTGCTCTTTGGTTGTGTGTGTGTGTTTTTTTAATGGATAGGTTAGCTAGTTAAAACCCCTTATGGGGAAGAGGCTATAGAGGAAGAACGAAGGATTAAACCCCTAATTATATAGGTGAGGAAAACACCTTTTGTTAGTTGTTTAATCAATTACTTTACAAATCTTCCACAAAATATTTTGTTTTTTGAGAAATAGAATTTGATTGATGCATAACAATTATAAGGGTTATAAGACCAATTCAAATGAGGTAATATATTAAAGGTATCACACTCATAAAATATGTGAAAATGCAAAATCTTAATCTAATATGTCTATATAAATATTACAGTTTGATCCGAACTTAAGATTCAACAATTAAACTATATTTCAACATAATTTATCCAAACAAAAGATAAATTAGTTGAGTTAGAAAAATTTAGCTAGGAACTCTATCCCTAACCACGTCTTCAATAACTGAAACAAGTACAACAATTGATATGAGTTTAACAAATATTACATTCAAGTCATCATCCTCTTCTAACAAAAATAAATCTTAGTAAAAAATATTAAAAATGCCAAAGCAGAACTTCTCAAAAAAGAAAGAGAAACCTCTATTAAAAAAAGGAAAAAACCTTCATAAAAGATGAGAAAACTTTCATCTTTAACTATCAACCTTAACCACTGAGAGGAAAAGAGACAACAACGGTTAAGGGAAAAAGGAGGAAAACGAGTTAAAGAGGAAAAAGTCAGAGCGAGAAAAAGTCAATTATTGTTCCTCTCAAAACATTTATTTTTTTTATGATTAGTGTTCTGTCCTCCAAATTATAAAATGACCGACTGTTTATTTACATATCCCATGTCTGGAAAAGTTAATTATGCATTGCACATAGTTTTCCATGACACTAAACCAATGAAATATGACATCGATCTGGCACCACTTTTTTTTTTCTAATTTTTTGTCGTTTCTTTTTCTACTTGAGAGTTGGAATTGCCGAATTGATGATTAAAAAAAGAGAGAGAGGGAGGGAGAGAACATAATGACAGATTATGAAGAAGAATAAATAAATTAAAAAAGTAAAAAATATTCATATAATTCCACAGAACTCCAAGCATATTATATAGATGCATAGAGCTGTGAGCTTCACTTCACTTCACGTGCAGCAGCAAAATTAAACTGCCAGTTTTATGGATGCAGTACAAGTGGTCCTGATGCACTACATCAAGACACGTCTCACAGTATCAGTCTGGGTCCGCACCATCACCTTACTTATACGGTTATACTACTAGCTAGCTAGTATTATTGACAATTAAAATAAAATAACTAAACATAAATGAAGTTGATATCAGATTGGTAATTAATGGTTTTTATATGAATATATTAATTTGTTTAGGTGCTTTGGATGCTCTCTGTTTCACGCTGAAGGAAAGCTGGCTTAATGTATATTAATCACAGTCACTTAGGCTAGGGATAATGGAGATCCAGATTATTAGCTTCATTATTGTTTGGTTTCTATGTTATGTGGACAAAGAACTCAGGTTAAAAACGTATTTATTGAATTATTTTGATTTTTATGTTGTAGTGAAAATATAACAAAAATAATATAGTTACAACTGTGGTATTACAGTTGTAATATCATATCATGATTATAAGTTTACAATTATGACGTAACATTAGATGAATATGACGTAGTGTTAAATCAGTAAATGTAGATGATATTACTTGTGAACTCCTGCATGAAAAGAACTAATTATATAATGACACATAATATTGTAAACTTCCAATATTATGTAATTAATATTATAACGATAACATTTTTAATAGTTATAATATCATTCAGAATTATAAGTTTATAATAATAATGTCATTAAAAGAGAATGTATATAATATTTCACATGCTCCCCTAAATAAAAACAATTAATCATATAATGACACGTTATAACTATAAACTTATAATGTCATTTTTAAAAATATTAAATATGTGATTGTAATTTTTCACTTCGAAGTTGATTTATCACAGTATACTATTTTTTGTAATGAAATCTTATAATAATCACATAATATTAATGAATAAATACATATTAATTCTCACATTCGCTTGCATTGTAAGAATTTCAACCTCTAAACTTAACTCTAAATTAAGGTATTTTTTTTACTATGAGATAACATTATATGTGCTTTGAATTGATAAAATTTATTGTCACGACTTATAATTTTTATATAAAATAAATATAACCAGTGAGGGGTCCCAAGTGGTTAAAAACTTGAAATTTCAAATTAAAAATCTTGAATTTAAATCTTAAGACAGGTAAGAAGGGATAAGGAAAGGGAATGATTATCACTTGTTGTATCGTTTATTATTTGATATACAAAAAAATATAGAATAAATATAAAAATGTGTATTAAATTATCCTTAACTTGAGCATTATTATTTGCTTAGGAATGCATTTAGTTTCTTTCCCATAAATTCCATGTTAATTTTGTACTTTAACTGATCAATGTTACTTTCACCACAAACAAAGGGTTAAATCCTAACATATAAACTACAAGTGTTATATTTTTTATTGATAAATGAGTGTTATCTAATAAGTCATATTCAAGATTCAAATCTTATAATTAACACTTAAAAATTAATTTATTTAAATACATTAAATTAATATAAGGAATGTATCCTTAAAAGTTACTTAAAAAATTAATTTTAAAATGCACAAATATATAAATGTCATTATTTTTCAAAAAAAAAAAATTCCTATCATGTAAAAAACAAGGTCGGCAGGAAGCAAGGTAGAGAGATCAATCCCCATCACTAAAAGAGAAGAAAAAGATAAGACCGCTTGGCCTCAAGCCCATATGTCCAAATCTGCGTTTTGGCTTTGGTGGGAACGAGATGGGACCTTTCTTCGCCTAATATCCCCACTGCCTTAATGGCCCTTATCTATGGTCTAACAAATTTCATCAACTAACCTATCTTGGATAATAGATATGGGCCTTACGCTGCCTGTGCTAACAAACAAAGGAATATTGGTATCAAATTCAAATTCAATTTCTGCTTCTACCTTCTCGAAAGATATAATTGCCCTTGATTTTGTAGCCTCTTACAAAGAAAACAGTGCCATGGATAAGGAACAACTCTCAACGCAACAACTTATAGAAAATGAACATTTTATACAAAATGATTAATAGATATTTTTTATGTATAATTTTTTACATAATATTATATGTTGTTGAATAATTAATTTTTTTATTTTAGTAGAATTCATAATATTATACATATTTATTAATTTAATAATATATAAAAATTATATAAATAAATCATTAGTATATTTTTATTCACATTATTTATAATAATAGGGATGGTGTCCTAAAACACTAATTATGAGGGTGAGTCTCAAATTTCTTCTATTTCCATGCAAAACCAACAAATGTAGGACTCGAAGGTTACCCCATTCTATGCCCAAAGCCAAGAGTTGGATCAACTACTTAAGTAGAATGAAGATGGCTAAACAAAGATAGTACTTCATTTATCACCATCACATTTTCTCAAATCTCCGTGCAAAGGAAGGCTATGCTAAATTGACATTGATGATGTTGATAATAAATAAAAAATCAAAATTAAAAGTGGCGGAGTATTCAACTTATTGCAACTTCAGCTGATTATCCCTGGAATGTAACTATCTAGCTTGGCATGGATTCCCTTACATCAACCATATATCTTCCAACCATAATCAATCACTTTAACAGTCTCTTTTTGGATATGTCTGTTATCTTCTGCAATGGAACCAAACATAAGGACAATGCTAGATTTGTTCTAAACAACGAAAGAAATAACAAAACAAAACCCCAGGGAAAAATTCAAATTTTCTATACCATAAGTCTATAATGGACTCACCAGATTCTGGGTTTCGGAATCTAGAGAACCAAGCAGCATGGAGCATCTAATGCTAATGGCAAAGAAAACTTGGGAAACTCTGGTAATTGGCAAGTCTTTTCCCCTAACAATGCACGCGCTCTTTTACTTCTGAAACACGTTATTTTTGTATTTGCAATTGCAGATGAAATAAATGATTCTCCAATCGAGCAAGTCCGACTCACAGTTCCTATCACAGACGATCCTACTATGCCATGCTTGACGTTTCGAACATGGGTCTTGGGGATAGTTTCCTGTGCTATTCTCTCATTCTTGAATCAGTTCTTCACCTACCGCCAAAATGCACTCTCCATAAGTTCTGTTTCAGCTCAAATCCTTGTCCTTCCAGCTGGGAAGCTCATGGCAGCATATCTACCTCGCAAATCAATTCAAATTCCTGCAACAAAATGGTCATTCTCTTTAAATCCAGGACCCTTCAACATGAAAGAGCATGTCCTCATCACCATATTTGCAAATTCTGGTTCAAACACTGTTTATCCTGTTAATATTGTTACCATAGTGAAGGCCTTTTATGGCCGTGGGATAAATCTCATAGCAGCTATGATGTTATCTCAAAGTACACAGGTAACACTTTTGTTTTGTAATTCGTACTGTGTAAACTCATGGAACTTGTTTTCCATGATCATTTGTTTCTGATGCATTGTACAGATGCTTGGATATGGATGGGCTGGCATTTTCCGAAGGTTTCTTGTTGATTCACCTTACATGTGGTGGCCCTCAAACCTGGTTCAAGTTTCACTCTTCCAAGCATTGCATGATGTTGAGGTTAGGCCCAAAAGAGGCCAAACAAGGCTGCAGTTCTTCTTTCTGGTCTTCATATCCAGCTTTGCCTACTATATTGTTCCCAACTATCTGTTCCCGTCCATTACTGCTCTCTCCTTTGTCTGCTGGATTTGGAAGGACTCTGTTACCGCCCAAATAACAGGTTCTGACCGTCATGGTCTCGGGATTGGCTCCTTTGCCCTTGATTGGTCAACTGTTTCTAGCTTCCTCTTATCTCCCTTGGCCACCCCTTGCTTTGCTATAGTTAACACAATGGTTGGTTTCTTCATAGTGATCTATATATTAATCCCAACAGCTTACTGGACTAATTCATATGATGCAAGAAAATTTCCCATTATCTCATCCCATGTGTTCGCATCAGATGGTTCAAGATATAACGTTACAAGAGTTATGAATCAATCAACCTTCGAATTCAATCTCCATGGATATGACAGCTATGGCAAAATCAATTTGAGTATCTTCTTTATCTATACTTGTGGTCTCAGTTTTGGAACATTAACCGCAACAAAATCTCATGTTGCTCTCTTCTATGGAAGGCACTTGGGTTTTAATTACGATTCAGACAGCCAATATCCAAGTACTTCACATGGTTGAACATTTTGCAGGACAATTTGGCAACAAACAACATCTGCATTTCAAGATAAGTTTAATAACGTCCACACAAGACTCATTAAGAAAAACTATGAAGCTGTGCCACAATGGTGGTTCCACGCCCTCCTGATGATTGTAATTGGATTGTCCATACTAACTTGTGAAGGCTTTGGAGGACAATTGCTGCTGCCTTACTGGGGAGTAATACTAGCAGCTTTGCTGGCTATGCTCTTCACCCTTCCCATTGGAGTCATCACAGCCACTACCAATCAGGTAAGTGACAGACTCACAGCCAAGCTTTGCTTAAGAAATGAATGCCTGACTTGCTAATTTGTACACCTTTCTTGGACAGCAAATGGGACTAAACGTCATCACGGAGCTGGTTATTGGTTACATTTATCCGGGCAAACCTCTTGCAAATGTTGCTTTCAAGACCTTCGGCTATGTCAGTGCCTCACAGGCCATCATGTTTTTGTCAGACTTCAAACTAGGCCATTACATGGAAATTCCTCCAAGTCGATGTTCCTTGTGCAGGTAATTCCTTGAACACGTTCACAACTCAGAAAAAAAGGATAACTTGAAAACATGAAATACTGATTAATAATGATATCTCTGTAGTTAGTAGGAACAGTAATTGCATCTTCAGTCTAGCTTGGCACTGCTTGGTGGCTACTGACCACGGTGGACCACATCTGTGATCTGCCAAACTTGCCAGAAGGAAGCCCTTGGACGTGCCCTGGAGATGATGTTTTCTACAATGCCTCCATCATTTGGGGAGTAGTAGGGCCACTTCGGATGTTTGGGCCTCTGGGGTTGTACTCTAAGATGAACTACTTCTTTCTCATTGGCACACTTGCCCCGGTACCTGTGTGGGCACTCAGTAAGATATCTGCTCGGCAAAAATGGATTAGGCTTGTTAATATGCTCGTCATTTTAGGAGGAGCAGGTGCTCTTGTAGCTGCCGTTTCTGTCAACTACATGTGCTGGGGCGCTGTGGGAATTTTCTTCAACTACCATGTGTACCGGAAGTTCAAGGGCTGGTGGGCTCGCCACAACTACATTCTATCAGCAGGATTAGATGCCGGAGTAGCTTTCTCAACCATCGTTTGCTATTTTACGTTACAAATCAGGAACATCAATGGACCCAGCTGAAGCGGGTGATCACTGTCCCTTGGCCACTTGCCCTACTGCTCCTGGCACTGTTGTTGAAGGCTATCCTGTTTTTCATTGAAAATATTAATTCCTCCTGCTAATGTAAAATCGAGATTGGCACATATTCAAGAATGTGCCATATGAAAGATGAATTAGAAAGTTCTACGTGTAGTGTGGTTGTTCAGCCCACCCACCCTGTTTGTTCTATGATCTATGGGTCTACTGGAGCTACCCATTTCTATCAATTAGCCAAGATTTTGACCGGTTACAAATCCACAAGTGCTCATTGATGTACCAAAAAAACAAATCCACAAGTGCTCTATCCATCGCGTCCTTTTCAGGTGGTTGTAGGATGGACAGCCGCCTATAGGTGGTGGGGTAGGGTGAGCAGTTCCGCTCAGATTGCAGCCAATCTTCCTAACAGCAAGCGGGCCACGCTTAGAGCACATGAAACTCATCGCTACCTCGTTAGGGCATTGACGCAATATAGCATGTTAAACCAAAGCATCGCTTTCTCAGTAGTGTTGAAACACAGCAACCCGCCTAGAAGAAGAACGTACTATCAATTGTCCAAATCAAGGCACTACAATATGGTTAAGGAAAAATGATGAAATACAAAACTGAGTAAGGAGGAATAACACCTGTATGGTAAACCACAGGTATCTTACGAAGAGGTTGCCAATTTGGGGTGAAATGGGCATTAAAAGGCCTGCTATTAATTATACTGATAAGAAGGAAAAAGCTGAGACAAATCTTAGCTGTTGTACAACACAGAAATCGATTCAGACAAATCTTTGCAGTCACTTGTACATTTGTGCATGTAATTCTAGATTTTCATGAATGCATCAATTTTTCCTGTGCCTGAACAGGCACACCAGCTAATTTGGATGATTAACAAACAAAATGAACAACAATTTTATTTAGATGGGGGCTGTGGGGCACCTCCATGGTGCAAGAAAATATGAGAGTCAAGTTCACAAATAGCCTGCTCTAGCAGATTTGTCCAGATAAATATTTATTATTAGGACTGTCAAACAGATCAGAAAGATTCAGTAAATAAGCAGTAAGGAGATTATTCTCCCAGTAATTCAAGAACATCAGACACCTTGCTGGCATAAAAATCTGGTTGAATGCTGTTTGAGGGATCTTCGAGGATTGATTGTGTTGTTACTCCTGAAATTTAGGCAGTGTCAGATATCAAGCATTAGGAAAGGATGCTGGGGAAGAGTCTATTTTGCTATTGCAAAAAAATGACACTCATTTACCTGAAAGAACAAGCAGAGTTTTACATCCAGCATTTTGTCCAAATAAAATATCTGTGTCTAGCCTATCACCCACCATGCACATCCTAGAAGTACTTAATTGAAATCTGCAAAATAGGAAAATTCTCCCAATCAACAAGGTTGCTGTGTGCTAATGTGAGTTAGATGCACCCAAAATGGTTCAGTTAATAGATGTTTGTATTCCAATGAAAGTTATGGCTCCCTTTAACAAAAATGGTGACTTTAAACTATGATCATTCACAAAATATGTGTAGTAGAATGATGTTGAAACACATCTTTTCATATAAAAAACATACTTTTGTGAGGTATGTTTTTGATCTGCATTTTTTTCTCTATTTAGAGAAAGAACATGAAGTGGAAACAGTGCTTCTTAGGGATTTAAATGAGGATCCAAATTGAATTTCAAGAGACCAATAGATGGCATGATTCATCATTAATTTCATCAAGTATTCTTAAGTTTGACATTCAATGCACAGACAATCCCACCTAGCATCTAAGACATCCACTTCCGGTTTCCTTGCAGACTGTGGTTCCTAGTTGATATGAGTTTAGACAAACTTATATACTGAGTTTAGTTAGAGGCTCGAAACTGTGTTATAGGCACAAGTTCAAATGAAAACAATTGGATCAGGTTTATCTTTTTCATGAATTACAATATACTGAACGGTTCCATTAAATTAACTTACTTTTTTAGTAAAAATTCCATCAAGAAGGTTGATGGTTTTCCCACTACAATAGGCTCTCTTTCAGTTGACCCACAAATGGCAGCAACCATGCATCCCGCACCTGCAAACCCAAATGAAGAACAGATTTATACAGCTTTCAAGCAAGCACTGCATATGAGCCATGTAATCAAGATTACCAGGCCACTCTTGTAAATCAGTCATATGTCCCACTGCATCACGATTGGTTGCTATGAAAAGGCACCCTGGGTTCTCACGAATACAAAGAGTACCATACCTGCCAGTTAAAATTATCTTCAGAAAATGGCACACAAGAGGCAAACTCATCTTAATTATGCTGCCTGCAGCACTAAGAGTTTGTTGGAATTAATCTAGGCCTGTTATACAGAAGTAAGAAAATTATTGAGGTTGCCTGTTTCTTCTTGCCAAACATTGTAACTGAGGATCTCTCCTAAAGGTCCTAAACTTATGGAAGGTACTCAAGCTAGATAGTTGTAAGTTTTACAAAATGCACTTCAGAAACTCAAGTGTCCAACAGGTCAAAATAGTTAATCATGAGTAAGACCATCTCAGTCAGTAATGCAAGGTGTGATCATGAGTTCCAGGGGATATTCTTAGATTTTTTTTAAAAAAAAGGGACATAGACTTGCACAAGTCTGCCGTTTTACTAATCTAAGGCGGTTAAAAAAAAAAGGGTTTCTAAACTTTTCATCAAGTGAGCTTTCAAAGCAGTATCAAACTATTAACAGGAATCTTCTTATACAGTTATTCAATTCATGTACAAAAATATAACACATTGTAGAGATTTGCATGGTAGCATCACAGAATTCTGAAGGAATTAGTTCAAAAGCCCAAAGTTGACCAGGATAGGGCCAGCATTAACATGAGAAAGAAGTGAAGATGGGATTTTGACTTTCTTACTGAAGCTTGTAATAGTTAATATTTGGGTCTAATCCAACGACAACTGCTCCGACCTGGAGATATAATTTGTGATGTTACAAATTCAAGCAGATGAAAGTCTAGTCAAATGAAGAACAATCAGGTCAATATGTTACATTACACTTTTATCATGTTCAAAGAGGCAATTTGATTTCCACTCAGCCCTTTTGTCTCCATCTGCCTGCAACATATTATATTCTTTCTCTTAAGATTCCATAAAGCAACAGAACAAACACAGAGAATGACACTTAGGAAAAACAAAAAAAAAAACCCAAAGATTTACACATGACAAGGAAGCAGAGCACCAGCCAGCAGTGGCGGAGCCAGGGGGGTGCGAGGGGGGGCGCTCACCCCCCCTGAAATTTGAAAATCTTGCAAATTAGTATATAAAAAATTATCTAGTCTCCCCTGAACTTTGAAAATTTTAGTATTTTGCCCCCCCTGAAAAAAATTTCTGCCTCCGCCCCTGCCAGCCAGTGCATCCAAAATCGGAAACAAGTCTTTTAGGCAACAACTCAACTACGAAACTTGCATATATCCTTAAAACAAAGAGGGCAAACTACTACAAATTCTACGTAGGGGAGGGGAAACGGTTCATCCCTGAGGTAAGAGTGATAAATATGGGTTTATGAGATCAATGAGGCAAAGATTGAACAAGGCATCATTATTATAAAGTAAATATTGAAAGATCCACGCATGCACCCTTTAACTTACAACCTAAAACACAATGTTTGAAAATTGAGTAACTTACAGGGCCACCAAGACCAGTATATCCAGCAAGCTGCAGTTCTTCTATTATGCCTTCCCCACCTATGGCATAAACCTGGAAAAACAACAAAATTAGCATGCATATTCATATTGCATTTGTACCCCAATGTTTTACATTTTCTTAAAAAAGACAAACCTTCTTCTCTGGAGGAAAATTATTGACCTTCAAGTACATAGCAGCTGCAAAAGACGATGAAAAAATCTCATCCTGCCAAGAAAAAGGGAATAAAAAATTTTGAAAAAAAAAATGTGGGATTGCAAAGAAGAATAATTGAATAAACATACCTGACTAACTGGCACTCCGAAAGATTGGAACTTGTCAGCAAATTGTCTTCTGGATTGTGTGGAATTGTTGGTGACAAAAACCAGCTTCTTCCCCTAATAAGGTGCATTAAATTTGAGAGATAATACCATCAAGCAAGCATCTTTGATTTCAAATGTATACGATAGAGAATGAAAACAAAACCTTGGATCGGAGCATTTCGAGAGTTTGAAGGACACCATCGATGAGCTTATCGCCTTTCCAAATGACACCTGCATCATCATCATGATCAGAAAAAAGGGGAGCGGAATTTGGATAAATGATCGGAGAAAAGGAAAGAACCATCGCAATCAAAGAGAAAAGCGTCGACGGAATCGAAGAGAGCTCGGACGTTGGTCGCCGTTAGCAGCTGGGCGGCACTTTTGGCTCCGTTCATCGTTGAATCGTTGGCCGCACCAAATATTGAATTTTTGGTGGCAAATTTGTTGGCTTTATTTCTACGCAGGGTAAAACTAAAAAGTAGCGCTAGCCGTATGGTCCATGGATCTCGGAAGTTCTTCCTTTTGGGCCTGAAAACCCAAAGCGGGTCCTGGCCTCGTTTGGTCATGGATATGGATCGAAAGACCCAGATCCTTCTCGAACTTGGAATCCAAAGCCAAACTGATTTTCGTCTTCCCCTTTTCCTGCAACTTGACCAACACGAAGTCGAATTCTGGGACGCCTTTATAGCTTCGTTCTCGGCATCTCCGGCGATCGGAAGGAAGCAAACCTTAGGATTTCCAATTTTTTTGGGGGATGGATTTCGAGCTTAGGCGGGCGAGGGAGAAGCTAGAGAAAGAACAGAAAGAGAGGAAGGAGAGGGCGAGGCTGAAACTGGAAAGGGAGAAGAAAGCCAAAGAAGAGGCGAGGAGGCAACAAGATGCAATTGAAGCTGTTCAGAGATCTAGGAGGCTCGACGCCATTGAAGCTCAGCTCAAGGTATCACTTTTCTACCTACCTTTACAATTTTATGGATCGTTGTTTATGTCTTTCGGCTGGGATTTTCTGATTTATTCATTCGATTTGCTAATAATTTTTAATTTAAAGATTTTTCGTTTTGTAAACCGCAATTTGGACCATGAATAGCTGGAATTGGCAATTGAGAAAAAAAAAATTAATTAAGATTATTATGTCTATTTTAGTTTAAAGTTTCCTCGAGTTGCTATCTATTTGAAGGAAATAGAATGGTATCTGGAGATTTCATGAAATTTGATTTTGGAATTTCTCTAGTGTTAGGCGGAACTTTGAACAAATTTAGGATGATAACACAGTTCTAGATTAAAGGGTAGTAATACAATTGAAGAAAGTAAAAGAAAGGTATAAGTTTTGCAGAAATCCTTTGCAAGTTGCAAGGAAACCAAACATGTTTGAATATATCAGGTTCTTTGGATATAATGATTATGAGAGTTTCTGAATGTTTCCCCACTTTTTCTTTCAGGCTGAAGAACAAATGCAAGAAAGTTTACTAGCAGGGGGAGGAATAATGTTTTCCTGCATTCTAGAAGCTGTACATTTCCAGGGTGTTGGAGATAAGATCAAATTGCCTCCTCCCTGTTTTACAGAATTGTCGAATCAAGGTGCATTTGATAAAGGACCTCTGTACTTTCAGTTATCAGTAGTTCATCAAGATGGATATTCTGATGTAAAAGATAGTGAAAAGGGAAATATGAGGACCACCCATTCAGGTGTTTTGGAATTTACTGCAGATGAAGGTTTGGTTGGGCTTCCTCCACATGTATGGAGTAATTTATTCCCAACTGATTCTCCAATAGCTCCCCTAGTTGAGGTTCGGTATGTTCGACTCTCAAGAGGAACATATGCAAAGCTTCAGCCCGATGGAGTTGGCTTTTCTGACTTGCCTAATCACAAGGCTATCCTTGAAACAAGCCTTCGTCAGCATGCTACTCTTTCAGAAGATGATATTCTCACAGTAAAATATGGGGAGTTGACATACAGGTTACGAGTTTTGGAGTTAAAACCCTCTTCAAGCATTTCTGTCTTGGAAACTGATATTGAGGTGGATATAGTCAGTCCTGATGCACAATCAGAGAGCTCAAGTGAATATGTTTTGATACCTCTTACTTTGGAACTCCAGAATCTGGATTGGTTGAGGAAGGAAATTATGTCTACTATAAGTTCTCAATTGATGATAGTACATCTGAAAAGATCGCTTCTGATCATGTAAAAATTGAAGTAAAGATAGATGCAGAAATGAATGGTGGAGATACTGATCTTTATGTTTCCAAGCATCCCCTTATATTCCCAAACAGACACCAACATAAATGGTCTTCACATGATGTGGGTTCAAAGACCTTGATCCTTGGCTCCAAGGATAAGAGCTTGGGTGCAGGTACTTATAGCATTGCTGTCTATGGCTTCAAGGGAACAACCAAGTACCAGGTATTAGTGAATATTCAAGAGAACAGCAACCAAAAGGTGGGTCAACAAGCTGGATCATTGTCAACTATGGAAATCGATACTGTGGAGTGTCGTAATTGCAGGCATTCTATACCAAGCAGGAGTATAGCACTGCATGAAGCCTTCTGTAGCAGACACAATACTGTTTGTCAGCATACTGGTTGTGGAATTGTTCTTAGGATTGAGGAGGCCAAAAACCATGCACACTGTGATAAATGTGGCCATGCTTTGCAACTTGGAGAGTTAGAGAAGCACATGAAAGTGTTTCATGAGCCACTTAGTTGCCCTTGTGGAATAGTCCTCGAGAAGGAAGAAATGGTAAGCAACCTCCCTTTTTTACTCTGAATAATTTTATGTTTACTCTGTTTGAATTATATTCCATAATTTGTTGTTTTGCTCCTTAGTTAATAAGTTTGAAAAATAAGGTATAAAGATGATTTAGGCAACTGCCTCTCTGCTCTGCTTTTATAAGAATATTTTTTCCAATGCAAGGGAATTTCTAACCAATTCCAGAAAAATGAAAGTCACATGTAGAATGTTTACCTGTGCTGTGTAGGAAAGCCTGCTGTTTTATACATGTTGAGTAACAATATGCAAATTTTGAAATAGTTGGAAGTTTCTTTTTGAAAAACAATATGCATATATATTACAATATGACTTCTCATGCAATTCAGATTCCATTTGCATACTGAACACAGACTGTAACATGCTTTTTTCTATCCCTAGGTTTGTTCAATTGTGTGTTATTAATCATCCATTTATATACTCAGTCTAACCATCAATTATAGCCTGTATTTGCAGTTAATTACATAGCATGTTCCTACTTCTGATTTCATTGGACAGATATTGTTTCCACATGTTGCTACATTCTGATTTTTTTTTTTTTTTTTAACTTCATTTATTCATTAACTAATAGCAGAATCTACTCATACCCATATCAGGTGCTAGATATCATTCTGGGGTCATATGCATGTCATTCATTCTCCAATTCTTTCTATACCTCATGTATATAACAATACTTACCTTGGCAAGTTATCTATTAACAAATTTTGTCAATTAAATCTTCCTTATAACATCAGAATAGGAAGGACAATAACTAATGTACACATATTTTGTATCAGAATATCACATTCAGACTTGCTTAGCATATAGCTGTTTCACATGTAAATCATAGAGCATGCTGATCTTAATATATTTATTTCATTATATTCAGATACAAACAATGTAAATAAGCAGAATATTTCTAGGGGGACAATTGTAGACCACTTTCCTGGGTTGTTCATTCTCCTTTAAACTGTTTTTAGCCATGAGAATAGATATATTTACATTTGATGGAAGTAAACATGAACTTTTCTAAAAGTCCATGCTCTCAACATAGAAATTTTAAGTTAAGCACTGGTTTCTCAAGAAGTTAAATACCTTCTTTTAAAAAAAATAAAAATTGAATTGATATTCAGTTGAATATTTCAATGCATGTTCACTAATTCATTGTTTCCTGGCAGGTGAAACACCAAGCCTCTTATTGCGCGCTACGCCTAATTACATGCCGATTTTGTGGAGACATGGTTCAAGCTGGCAGCTCTCCCATGGATGTGAGGGACAGATTGAGAGGGCTATCAGAGCATGAGAGCATTTGTGGGTCACGGACAGCTCCATGTGATTCCTGTGGGCGTTCTGTAATGTTAAAGGACATGGACATCCACCATATTGCTGTACATCAGAAGAACTAAACTCTGTTACTTCCCAGTTTAAATTCACTGCCTATACCAGTTCGTGTGGCTTGTATTACTCACCTACATTCAAAAATTGATGATATTCTGCTCTTTAATTCACATCAGTGCACAAAGTGAAGGAATTATTGGGGGTGGCAAGTGGCTACTTGGCAGTTGCAAAAGTCCTATAAAGTTGATGATTTATTAACAATTGGGCATTTGACAAAGGCAACATACAAAATGTTTATCAAGTGAATCCCCCATTAATTCCCCTGGCATGTTTATGTACATTGTAATGCTTGTGCATGTGCTTCATTTCGTTTTACACCTCTCTAATTACTTATATGGTATATTTGGTTTTGAGATTTAATCAAAAAAAGTCCTCTCTTCCATTCCCTTCAAACAAAATATACTATTGAACTTCGTCATACGTGCTCTAAACATCCTTGAATGTAAGAGAGAAAAACGATTATAGCTCATTTGCGGTGAAAGAAGCCACAGCATTTGGAGGGTGCACCAATTGGACAAACCGGAGTTACCAGACCTCAACATGAAGCACGAGGATCCAGTGATTCAACCCATCTGTCATGACTAACCCCAATGTTTAAACGGTTCTGAATTTTTTTTACCCTGAACAAACGAGACCATTACATAATTTAATGCGAGACCCACTCCTCGGGCGTATGCGAGACCCTGAACAAATGGGGAAATGGTACGTAATTTGCAGCACGATATTCTATTATCACCGTACAAATAATATAATAGGTGTTTTTTATTTGATTAAATTTTATTATTTTACAATTAAAAAATTTTTTTTTTTGATGTTTTATATTTAAAATATTAAAATTATTCAAAAAATTATTTAAATATATATTTTAAACTTTAAGGATAACACTTGAATCTCACTGCTCAAAACTTATATGAAAAATCTCTAATAAAAAGATAATAGTCATTACGCTATTTGGACATTTCCTTTAATAATTTTTATATATTATTTCTTAAGATATTTGAATAACTTTATAAAAAATCTTAATATTTTAATTGTTATAAGATTTCCCACAATCTCATTATTTAGACAATAGGTATGGTGTTTTAATGTTTCATTATGGCTCAATGGCATTGGATCTTGAATTAGGACTGTTTAGTTCCGTAGGTCGTGTGTTCGATTCCCATGAAACTCATTTTTCTCCTATCTAAAAACAATAGGTATGGTGTTTGAAAATAGTAATTTGTAAATTACTTTTATAAGTAATATTTAAATAATTATAATTATGTGAGTATTTTTAATATGGGTCTTAATAAAATGTATTTATTATATTTTTTATCATTAATTTATATAAAAAATTTAAAAATAAATTTTATTTTCAATACTCTTATTTTATTAGTTTTAATATAAATGTCTTTCTATAGAAAAAAATTTATTTTCAACAATAATGTTAAGTAAAATAATTTAATTAAATATTTAATAACAAAAAATATAATAAATATATTTTTAATTTATATTTTATTTAAATTTATTTTATTA